AAAGCTTTTAGCACTAGATGTCAAAAATGCGAAGAATGTTGGCTTTTACAAGTGTTATTTCTTTTCTAGCTAAAGTGTGTTTTAGTAATAAGCAGCACCAAAAGCCAAGGTTATGTGGCTCTCTGCTGCACGGCAGGATCTAAGAAGAAGACTCTTCCCACTTATGCAAACAGCTTGACCTCTGCCTGCACAGTTATGTAACGTCCCTAATGTGTTTACTGTTTCTTTGTTTAGTTTAACAAGATGTTTCTTTTATCAAGAAAAGGTCAGTATAACCTGCAGGAAAAAAAAAAAATATAACATCACAATAGGTGCAATATTAGTCTGTCATAAAGCTCTCTTCAGCAAGGCTATGTCTTTGTGCTGCAAATCGGGCAGAGTTGAAGCACTAAAGGCCAGCCTTTCCAAAAGGAGTGTGCTGGGAAGTCAGCCAAAGACCAGGCTGGGGGGGGTGGGAAATAATAATTTTTTTAAAAAATAAAAAAGAAAGTGAATCAAGAATCTATTTCTTTCTGTATCTCCAGGTTATTTGGCGTTACAGGAAACTGTGCTGCCTGCAGCAAACTCATACCTGCTTTTGAGATGGTGATGAGAGCAAAGGACAATGTTTATCACCTGGACTGTTTCGCATGTCAGCTTTGTAATCAGAGGTAAGAGAATTTCTTGGGTCTGCTCCGTAAGCTAAGGGCTAGCTCAGCACTGCTGTGGGCATACATTCCAAAGAGGAAACATTTCCCACTAGCAGAACCCCAAGATGGAGAGCAAGACCTGGATGCTGTTCCTGGGACTCATACAGAACACCTTTCATGACCTTGGCCAGAAAACTTTTTGTGCCTCAAGTCCGCATCAATAAAAAAGAATAATGTTACTTCCTCTCCTACAAAAGGCTGTCTGTCAGGTTTAATTAATTAATATTTATAAAGGTCTTTGAGATCCTTTTCTGCAGAAGAGCATAACAGTACCATTTGTCATTATTGCATTAATTTCACTTTAATTCTTCATTTTTATCACATTTATTTCTTTTAAAGTACACATTGTTGCTTCCTGTTACCAGAACTATAATCTTTTAAATTTAAAATATGTTGTTCCCACCATTTCCTCTGTGGCAGCATTGGACCTCTTACAGTCCTATTTTTATTTCCATATCCAAACTGTAGGTTATAAAAATCCCAAGGATCCAAACCTGACACCCTGTTCTGAAGCATCACCCATATGGCACAGTTGGAGAGCAAGTGTCAAAAACAGTAAAATTGTAACATCTGATTTTCTCAGAGGTGAATAGAGCCAAGTTTGGACCAGCTACACTCCGAGAGCAGCTGGAGATTTTACCAGGAGCTCCATTTCTGACTCCACCTAAGCTGACAGCAACTTTGCCAGGGACCTCTATGAGGTCTAAGGAGTGAGAGAGCCAATTATGTCCACTCCTTAATATCCTTATTATTCTCAGTTAGTTTTCAGTTATTGCATGATCCTATTTAGCAGTTTATAGCCTTCATATATTTTTCCATTTCTTCAGTAGGGAAGAAACGCAAGATATACATTTTTAGGGAAGCAATGAAAAATTAGGAAGATGCTAGTCTAACATGACAAATCTAAACCAGCTCTACATAAGCTTTCCTAACTCACCTTGTCTTACAGTGTATTATTTTTTAACACTGTAGTCATTTAAAAATCAAACATCCCTAAAGAACCATAAAATGTACAGCTGCTAATAAGTGTAGCACACTACAATTATGCTCTTTAAAAAAAGCCAAATTGACCTTTTTCATCATGTTGCATGGGAAATTAAAATACCAGACAAGTAATAACCACTGCTTAAACTATATAATAATGCAAAGTAATTATAGGTTCTAATGCTATTTAAAGTCCTATATCAATTTTGTCTTGCCACAGAACTGAGAAGCCCAGCAAGGCAGGCAGAGGCTCCCACAGTACCCATTTAAGAGACACACACAGAGTGTCCTGGATTGTTTCCTAAACCCTTCACATCCTGGTTTTTTTTTCCAAACCACACTTCTGGTATCATTATTAAAGCCCCTAATATATTTCTGTTGTTCGCTTCATTTATTACATGCCATAATGGGGCTGCATGTCTTTAGTGTTGGTTATGCACAATTAGCACTTAGTTATTGTCTTGTCACTTCAGCCCATACAAGACAAACTTCTTTAATGTAAGAAGTCAGCTAATCTTCATCAGTCAAGCAAAGCAGACAATGTTTGTTAGCCGGAGTGCAAAAGATTTTCATCATAGTTAGCACTCTTGGATCTGAGGAAGAGAACTTTCTTTTTACTCCCTCCACCCCCCACCACCAAAAAAAAAAAAAAAACCAAAAAAAACAAAAACCAAACCCACAGCTGTTATGAATATTTTTAATATTCCTCTTTTACCATTACAACTGCAAACTAATGTGCAATTTCACTTTGCAGCTAACACACATTGTGGAGTTCCCTGGGGCTGCTGATCCCCCCTGGAAAAGTGCTGTTAGATGCTTCTGAAATGGAGCTTAACTGGGTTATTTAATAATTCTCAGCCTTTTTATTCCTGAGCCTTCAATCTAATCTTTTATTTGATTTTTACTTTGCATGTATTTTGGGCAAAGGGTTGCTGAAATAGTCTTACAGGTGTCTTAAACTGAGAACAAAAGAATGGATTTACCTGAAATGCAGTCTAGTTCATCTAGTGAAAACAGGGAGTGGTTCCAGGAGTTTCAAAGAATTTCATAAATTCTCAAAAGTGACCCCAATCCTGATTCCATTGCAATAGCTCTCATGGAGCCTAATAAAGCATACTGCTTTTAGGGTTCCTTTCTTCCTCACAATGTGGCCCTCTGAAGAATGAATTTTGTTGTTTTTTACAAAAAAAATCCTATTTCATGGGTACTCCAACATAGCTCTTCTGTGGTTCCTATGGCAAAGCATCCCAATGACTACATTCTCTCATTAATAGCTTCAAATCTTTTGCTTTTTGTTACCTGAATAAAAATAAATCTCCACATTGTTAGACACCTGGCCCATCAGCAGCTTGGGGGTTTTCAGATCTACTATAAAACCTTTTTCTGTTCTCTTTTAAACAGAAAAATCTTATCACTCACCATTTCATTAATAATTTCTGTTGTCCTTTAGGATCATTTTCTCTTCCTCTGCTCAAGCTAAACAAAATCACACAGCAGATTCTGAGTAAGGATGTGTTTATAAGACTTCAGTTTAACTTTTCTAAGTTTCTGCTGTCCTTTTGTATACAAAATAATGTTATTGAGGGCTTTTAGATTTGCTTTTTCCTTTCACTCCAGCCACTAATTCCACCAATATGTAATTTATTTACTGAAGAGAACATTTTAATTTTTTTTTTTCACAAACAGATCAAATATATCCAAAAATCACCAATGGGTGTGTCAAGGCTCACCAACTATTGCAGAACTTTTTTAGCCTTATTCCCCAGTTTCACATTTTCTTCCCCCCATTACATTTTAAAACCTTGGGTCCTTCTCTACAGTAGTTTTGCAGAGTATGTAGTGCTCTCTCTTTGATTCCACGTTTCATTTTCAGTTACATTCCACCGTTCAGTTTTTTTCCTAACAGAATGCATGCAATGATCACGAGAATACAAAGCTGTTTCTTCAGATTGCAATACTTTGCCAACACTGAATTTTTTTCGGATGCTCTGGGCCCTTGCTCCTTCCATCTCCTTCTTCTTTTCAAGCTAGGTAATATTTATAGTATTATAAATATTCTATAATATATATATATAATATATATATTATATATAATGTGTTTATAATACTATATTATAAACATAGTATTATAAACACATCTCACTGCTCCTTGGGGCAGCCCATCCTTTGGTCCTGCTATTGCATGCCCCTCACATTCCTACCTTTTAAAGTGTTGATCCTGGCCCAGAGAGATGCCTGCCCTTTTTTGCCTAGCGCCCTGTGTGATGATTCTGTGATTTTTCTGCTTTTGTGGACAACTTCACTGTTTGCTTTATTATTTCTGAGTATCTACAACTCACCATCCAGTGCAAATATCGCTGTGGATGGTAATTAGGCTCCCTTCACTTGAGGGGACTTTTGTTCAAGCCATGAACTCCAGCCCTGAACTAACACAACATGCCAGTCCCTTTATTGGCCTCCTGAATGTGGCTTTTTCAGAGTGAGTAGGAAAAGGCATTGTCACACACACTGTATTCCAGGAAGACAACTGTGGACACAGGCCTGAGAGAGAGCTCCTGAGCCACCAAGCCTGGTCCCCTGGTGCCAAATAGGCAGTGTCTCCTATTTTCCCCTTCATAAAGCTATTCAGCTCCAGGATCTAATTGCTCCAGCCAGACAGTTTCTGAGATATTTCCCCCACGTTTTTCTTGATACTGATGCTTAAAGCTGTAGCAATTTTGTGTACATTAAGCTCTGCTCCTAGCCTAAAGGTTTTAGCATCCTCTTATCTCTCATGTCTCTGTCCAGCTTACTCCTAATTTGAAGTTTTTCCATCGCCTAAGTACCTGCAGAGCTTAGTGACAGTCAGCTTAATGGTGTGAGAGTGTTCCCCTTTCTTCTTTGTACACATATTTAACTTCTCCTCAGAAGCCTTTCACCCCACGTTGACAGTAACCTCAATACACCTCATATTGCTGAAAATCTAAAGGTGGGGGGAGGAAGGAAACCACTGGAAAAAAAAAATCAACTTGTAAACAGACACTGCCTTTCACACTTTGTCAGGCTGCATGTGTGTGACTAGCAAAACGGAGTGGAAAATCTTGCAAGTGGGCTCAGCTGTGCCTTTGACACTTTTGACACTTTTGACTACAGAGATGATGTCAGCCTGCCTTCGGCTTTCCCACTTCCCCGAGTTTGTGTGTCCTTCCTCTCACTCTGCTGGCGTCTTTAGCGCCTTGTTCCCTACTCCTGTGATATTCTCTCTCTGCCGTTTGAAGTCAGCTCAGAGTATGGCTTAAAACCCCCATCTGCTATGGCTGAGAGGTGTTTAAATCGCCTGTTCTACCCTTCTATCTGAAATTGCCCTTATTTTAATAGAAACTGGACTAGAAATGGTTACATACTCATTGAAATTGCTGTCCTGATGTAGCTGTAAACACTTACCTCCAGTATAAACTGTAAAATGCCCACACAATGCTGCCTTTGTTCTCTGTCAAGCAGGGGAGAGGCAATACAATGCCAGGGACGTCCTTATTTCAAACACCAATATTAGATTTTTGCATGAGTGGTCATTTCATAAATTCTGAAGGCCTGAGTACTGCTTATCTTCATTATATGTCTGAAAATTTAGAATACAAATTAACATATTGTCCATACCCAGTTTTTTAAAACACTCCATGAAAAGAACACCGAGTTGAGTTTTGCCAGTTGAAGTTGAACTGGGATTCTGCATGGTACTGGTGAAAATGTACAAACTCAGGCATGGCTCCCACTTTGCAGCCTCTGAAATGGACATTTTGACAGAACCCCGGAATTAATGAGCCACAGGTGTGGACTGATGAACTGCGGTGTAAAAGAGTGGCTCTGTTCTCTTAGTGATGCGCGCAGATGAACGTTAATGCGAGTTCTGCTGGAAGCTCAACATTTAAAAAGAGAGGAAAGGGGAAGAGTAGAGCCCAAGCTGCTCACTGATTGCAAAAAGCAGAGGGGAAGGGTGTGGGTGGGGTAAATCTGAACTGTCTTAATCCTCAGGAAATCAACTAAATGCTTCCAGATTTTGCTTCTTTCTACAGCCACAGAGATCTGGCATTACCAGGGGAGGCACACACAAAGCCATCTTCATTCACAGCAATACTTCTCTTGCTTTCTTAAGTAGTCTTCAGTACCTTGACACATGTCCTGTGCATCAGAAAAGATGACAGACAGCAGTGAGATCTCCTTAAATATCTGTTCTGAACAATGAAAGAGCTACTTCTCAAAATAGAAGTTTTATTCTTCTTGTGATTAGTCTAGGCACACCTTCCCTTCCAAACAAGGTGATAACAGAGGTCATTTTGTAATTTAAATGGCCTTCCTTTTGCCAGTGTAAAATATGACAGGGGTTCTAGGATGTAGGTTAATTATAATGGTCATTCTACTAATGTCACAGTCGTGTCAAAAGCACTATTATCAATTTATGGTGCTCAGTCCAATCTGGCATGTTAATGCAGCCTATTGTATATTCTTTCCTCTTCATCTTGCATGTCTATTAAAAAAAATTGGGTGAGGGTTTTAGGGAAGGCTGAAGACTACCATCTGCCTGCTAGAAGAGTAATAATCTTGCCTAATTATATACTCCTAGCACAGTGGCATCTTAATGTGCTCCTCGACTCCGTTTAATGTGTGTGCCCAAATTGTGCCCTGTGCCAATTCCATAAAAAAACCTCAACCTTAGTGGGAGGCTAGGCTTCAATTTACCCTCCCATTTTAAAGCTGAGCAGTGTGCAAACCCAGTCGGAAGTGGTTACAGCTCTTTCACTTCAGGAGAGGCTAAATCTGGTTTTGAGACTCAAATAAGGTTGAAAGTGTGAACGGCCAGAATTCCTCATACTTCATCTGCTTACTTGCCCTATCCCATTGTACCTGGGAGCCAGCATGCCAGGATTATAGGTTTTTGACCTTGTGCTTACCTCTTTGTCATCCAATGAGTGCACAATTCACACATTTAACACCCGGGGGTCCATGCAAGCCAAATGTGCTTGTCACTGATCTTGCACAATATGAAAACAGCTGCAGAATTTGCAGCAAAGCATCATGAGCAGCAGGTTTCCCCCAAGGCACGGGGGACCATCCAGAGGATGCCCTCCCATGCAGGCAGACCCCAACCCACAGGTTATCAGACAGACAGGCCACTGGCAGCCTCTCCCTGTCACTGTCATATTTTCTGAAAAATCCCTTGCTAGGATTTTCTCCTGAGGAGCTGAGAAGCCTCAGAAAAGAAATGTCAACAATAACTATCTGATGGCTGTGGAATGTGCTCTGGAGATGATTTACCAAGAGGTGCATCTTTGATTGGTCCATGTGAGTTGTTTTTACTTAATGACCATCCATGGTCTAGCTGTGTCAAGGCTCTGAGCAGTCACGGGTTTTTATTATTCATTCCTTTCCAGCCTTCTGATGTACTCCTTTCTCTATTCTTTTTAGTATAGCTTTAGTATAGCATTTTTATATAACATAACACCATAAAATAATAAATCAACCTTCTGAAACATGGAGTCAAAATTCTCATCTCTTCCCTTGTCCCTCAAACACAATGACATCTCCCCAGGACAGCTGCACACCTGGAGCACGGGGGATCCGTGGAGCTGTGTGTGTTTGGAGTCACTCGTGCAGAAAGCTGTCACACGCCACGCACACGCAGGTAGAGCACTTCTGGCTCCACTTATCAACTCTGCCAAAGCAAAAGACATCGGCACTTTTTATTGGGAAAGGCATCCTGGCACTCCTGTGCAGCCCTTGCAGTTTAATTCAAACTGTGACTCTTCTCCAAAGGCTGGGAAACAAAATCCTTCAGCCAGGGCTTTGGTGCAAACAGTGTTGAGTATTGCCGTGCAAGCAAACTGCACTTCAGCAGTGGATTTTTCGTTTACTAAATGCTTTAAAAAAATTACTTTGCTGAGGTCTGTCTTAACCCTGGAACAAAAGGAATACACACAGCTGAGCAACAGTCTCAGTTCAGTGTTTTCTGCTGGGTGCAGGGGTGGTTTCATCTCCCCCTGATGCACTGGTGGATTTTCTTTGTCTTTTGTTGATTTTAAATGCGACTTCTTTGGGAAAAACAAATGTTACTTGTTGGCACTAGTTAAGATTCCTTTACATAATCTTGTAAGGTGCACAAAAGAATTTTTCTCAGCATTGCTGTCGATGGACAAAAATACAAAAGATGGAAACTAGGAAAGAACAACTTTTATGTATGAATTCTGCATTTCAACATAGCTACTCAAAATTATTTTGTGGGGTTAGTAGCCTAGTATACCAGGTTTGGGGTGGGAAAAATAATAGGAGCCTCTACATTCTGTAAGACTGTTAACCATAAATAACTTAAAGATTTTGGAATCCTCCCATAATCTTTATTTTCAATCATCAGCAGCAGCAGGCAGTAATCCCACAGAAAAAAAAAAAAAGTCCACAAATAAACAAACCAATTTTCCTTTAAGAGCAGAGCTAATTCTTTTCAATCCACTTTTTTATTACACTATTTTCCCTCTATCTATTTAGCTAGCATAAGGATAAATTTCCAAAGCTACCCAGTTGGAAAATAAATGGGTTCACTGTTTGTCTAGCATTCCAATCTTCACAAATGTAAATCAGTCCAACTGCTACTCATTTAAACCTCCAACTTCACAAAACATTAAAGGACTGCTTTCCATACACAATTTAATCTGTAACAATTCACCAAGATTTCTGCCTGAACATCATTAGAAATTGACTATCTGATAAAGACAGACCACTATCAGGGGTCACGTGGGTCAACCTGTGTCATTTATGGAGTTTTGCTGGGTCAACTCCAGCAGGCACCACTATTTGAAGGTTAAATTGTTACAATTAAATACATATCCAGCTATTCCCATAGCTACTCTGCTGTTAAATCTACCGTAAACAACACGAGCATTTATATCTGACCCTAATTGTGTCCAAGATGTCACCATTTGGAAATTATATAAAAAAAAGGACATTATAATCCCTTACACATTAAACAATACTTCATGTACCGAGATCCATAATTAGCTGGTTTCATTTGTTCACATCAGTGTTAGGGGGTTCATTTAGGTTACTTTCTTTCATTTTAATTGGAATAAGGCAAGCAGTGCCTCCCAATATATTTCATAGCTGGAGAGTTCACTACAAACAAAGCCATGTAACCCTGCCAAGGCAGTCACTAGGGAAACTTTTTTCCTGCATTGGCCCCATTCACTTCTCCCTAAGCATCTTCCAGAAGAGCGGCTTTGTCAAGGAGAAGAAGGACTGCAGGGCGTGTCAGGGAAGAACCCTCTTAAATTCAAGCTTATATTTTTAGCTGGGAAATCCTGCTTTTCAAGAAGTTTGAAGTCAGCCAGCCAGGACCATTAACATTACGTGATTGTCCTGCTCATCAGAGAGAATAGAACAAAATCTCTCAGTGGTGTTTTGCAGCAATCAGATAATTCTGATGCACGTAATACTGTAACAAGGTAGGTGCACTGACACCACGAGAGTAGTTAGCTGAGTAACTAAATTTATAATCAACTTCTACAGGGAAAGGAAAAAAAAGGAAAAAGGGTTGGGTTTTTTCTCCATGTCTGTGTGTCTCTGGTTTACATGTACTTTACAGTAAGCTGTGTGTGTGCTAAAGCAGTTCTCAGATTCACCATCTTAAATCGAATCTAGTGAAATATCCAACTGGAACACAACAAGAAATTCTTTATAGGACACAAGACAAATACAAGATATGTCAAACAAGCTTTCCACTGCATGCTTTGCTATACTTTGTCTTCTTCTGGTTTGCAGGATGTTTACTTTCCACTCAGCTCAGCAGCCTGGGATATTTATTGTGTTTTTAGCTGTGTGCCAGTGACCTGATCCAGGACTCCCACAGCCCACGGTGGGCTTTGAATGAGGTCTTTGGCTGGGGAAGCAAAAGTGCCTGAATGCACTAGATTTTGTTGAAAGCACAGGATTAATTGTGGCACCAGGGCAATTCCTCTGCTGGGCTTTCCCACGTGCACACCTGGGTGCTGTCCAGCCAACCCTTGCCCTACAACCCTCACCTGTAAGACCATGTCCCATCATTTACCCTCAAACTCTCTTTTTCTTTTCTCTTTATTATTTCAATTTCAGATTTTGTGTTGGAGACAAATTTTTCCTGAAGAACAACATGATTCTGTGCCAGACAGACTATGAGGAGGGTTTAATGAAAGAAGGTTATGCACCCCAGGTTCGCTGATCGGATGCCACATCATTAAGAATAAAAAGCACTATGTTCTTTTATCTTTTTTGCTCAACATGTATATAAGAAATGACACAGGAACCTACTGAATAGCATAGATATAGGGAGACAGAATGGTTGCGTGAAATAAAAGGCGGACTGCATCTGTATGTAGTGAAAATTGCTCCAGTTCAGAGTTGAATGTTAATTAAAAAGGTACTGTATATACAGCTGGATTCTTTTTGCTTGCTCTTGGGATTTTCAGTTTGTTTGGGGGTTTTTTTTGTTTCTTTTTGTGTCATTTGGCATGAGATGTTTATTTTGGACTATTGTACATAATGTATTGTAATATTTGAAGCACAAATGTAATACAGTTTTATTGTGTTACCATTTGTGTTCCTGTTTGCTTCTTTGTATTGTTGCATTTAGTACAATCAGTGTCTAAACTTACTGTATATTTATGCTTTCTGTATCTACCAGCTATTTTAAATGAGCTGTATCTTTCTAGTAAAAAGCATTAAAGAGCAAATCCCAACCATTATGCTACACTTAGAGCTTAAGAATACTGTTTACATTAAAACTATTTAGAAAACTAATAACTAGCAGCACCTGCTGCTAATGATGCTATGGTTAAGGGTCTATCAGCACTTCTCTTATAAGCCTCTATTTTTCAGGGGTTAAGCATCTGCTGTTTAATTGCATGGATTTTCCTCAAAGAGCACTTTTATTTTACTACAAAATTTTGAAAAGCAAATCTGACTGGTTTGAGCTATATTATAAAAGGTGCAAAAGTTAATGATTTTGGGTGCTGCTTTTGTGCCCCTTAGGCATTCCAAATGCCTGGATTTGATTTTTAATTTAGCTGGAAATTAAGCCCTAATGCAAACCAGTGCCTCTGGGTATCTTATTTTATATATATATATACATATATATATAAAAATATATATGTTATTTTTCTGAAATCATTAATTTGGGGAGGGGAAGGAAAGGGAGAAGATTTTTCTTTATATGCATTTTAAAGAAGTCTTAAAAATTTGAGGGGTTCTCTTTCTCCCTCATCTCCCTCTCTCTCTTTCCCTTTTTTCTTTTTTCTTTTTTTTTTTAAATTTTTCTTTTTTTTTTTTTTAATCAGGGCTTAACCCTAATATGTTTTCTGGGGCTGCGTCCTCAACAAACCCTGGGGAAAAAAAAAAAAAAGTGAAAGTAGAAGGCACTGTAAACAGCCCCCTCTCTCTGAGGGTCTATTTACATTAAGGAAACGACCCTGAGCTGACACTGGGAGAGTGACTGGTTGCTAATTACCCACCTCGGTGAACGCTGAAGGTAATTTAAATGCTGATGTGGATGGGACAAAACTTTGCAATAGCAAGTGAGAGCTACCACACTCGACTGCACAGGTACCTTGCTGTCCGTGCCAACATCCTACAGGTTTGTCCCATCAATACTGGCAATTAAAATCCTTTTGACAGAGGTGGAATCGCTGCTGACAGCTCCTGTTGGCAATCAGTTCGTTTTCTAGGAGAGGTGGACCTCTGTTTTTAAAGCCATGAAGCTATTGCATCAGCAGGACGTCCCTAAGTGCTCACACCCCTGACAGAGCTTACAGGTGTTTGGCAAAGGAAAGCAGGATGAATGTTTAAAAAGTTGTTCAATGCATATTTATGTCTTGTCTGTTTGCCACTGTAATCTAGCTCACTGGGAAAACAACCTGTATTAAAAACAAACAAACAACAAAACAGTATTAAGAAGGAAAAAGAAAAAAAAAAAAGCCAACAAGAAACCCACTGTACCCTGTGTTGTTATGAAGCTAAGCTCTTTTTTTTATCTTGAATATGAACCCGTGACTCTGCTCAAGTTGACTGCTGTCCTACCCTGCTCTTCCTGTCCTGTTGCAGTTTCAGCATGTTTTTTGCTGGGGATGGTCAAAGAAACTTTGTCATGCAGTGGGGAAATTCCTTAAGTGTATGGTAAGAGCACACTGCACAGTGGCTTGATTTAGAAATAGATATTTAGTTTTAATGACTGTTGTTACAGTGTGGTTTTTTGTTTTTTTTTTTTTTTTTCCTGGCTGTGAACCTTTTTGAAAATAAGCATGGCTCACAAAACTTGACTCTGACTCATACAGGACCAGAAAGAAATGCAACAACTCCTCAGGCTGTTCTTGTTAATTAGAAGAAATAGCTCCACATAGTTTTTCAAATTAAATTTAGCCCTCTTTTGTGGACTATCTTCCTTCCTAACCTTGAGCACAAGTGTCTCTTGCACTCCCTTCCCCAGTCCCTTAATGTCTTTGGGATAACGAAGCAGTTGGTGCCAGAGGTACTATTAGGCTCTTACAGACCTACTTCAGTGCAATAAACAAGCTGTCCTTTCCATGAAGGTCAGCATGGACAGAAAGGCAAGGATCATATTATCTTGTTTTGAGCCCAATTTCAATTTTCTCCTCCAGCCCCTCTCGGGTCTTTCCATTAGAAATCGGGAAGATCGCTCTTCTGCTTTCCAGTATTAGGCTGCAGAACGGATAGAAATCCCTGGTTCACAAATAAGAAAGAAAGGTCCTTGACTCTGGTTTTGACTCCCTGTAAGCTTGGGCAAGTCACTCAGCTTCTCTGTGCCTCAGTTGTTCCCATCTGTCCAATGGAGCTAATGGACACAGTGCTTTTGTAAGGCATCTTTGGCTCTTCAGAAAACCAAGAGCCATGTGAATGTTACAGGCAGGGTTGGGACACCCTGGGAGGAGCAGAGCATTCCCAGGAGGTAAATCTGAGGCAAGAAAGGACCAACAGCTCAGCCTGAGGAAGGCTTGGCTGGGGATGATGGCAACTAAATACTAATAGTGCTGTAAATGCTCAAGGAATCTCTCAGTCCCACAAAGTGCCACTGCTCAGCTCTTTATGGAGCAAATGAAGAGAGGGAAATGGGGAAAGAGTGGCTCATTACTACATGCTACATTGCTTATATGTGCATTTTGTGACCTAGGCTCAAAGTGTGGAAGAGGAAGGTGGTCCTGCAAGGGAGGAAAAAAAAATAGTCTCACCATTCTATCAATCTTAATTGATGCAAGGATAAAGAAGTATGGACATGTTTGCAGTGCACAATGGTATGGCATTGCTTTGAGCACTTTATGCTCATCTATCTTATTCACCTACATATCTAAAATTTGTATGTAGAGGATACAGAATAAATTTAGATTTGATGTAGGTCAAAGATCAATTACACATTTTCCTGTATTTCAAACTTCCTTCTTGCCTGGCTGTTAAAATAATGGCTGAGAGTTGAAACATTTAATGGAAACATTTACAACTCCAATAAAGTATATCATCATAAGTCAATACTGGAGAGAGAGTATCTGCCAGGCCACTTTAGTGATCATTTTGACAGAGGTCTAGACCATTCCTTTGGGTTGCTTTTTGTTATCTGCTTTGGTTCTTCTTCTCCATCACTGTGTGTGTCAACTTGCTGTCTGCATCCAGCAAACCACTCTGACAGTGACCCTTATTCAGTGCATTTTCCAGGCAGGAATGCTTCCACTTGTGCCTCCCATCTTTACCTGCACACATCATGAAGTTTAGCCAGACAAAAAAAATAATAATATAAATATTTTTTTTTAATCTACTACAATCTACTTGGATAGCTGGTTTTGAGTGGCAAACTAAAAATTATCAAACCTTGATTTTTCAAATGTAAAAAGCTCCTCTGACAACTGTATCCTGCTGTGTCTGTTATCTGCCACAACTGGTGATGGATCAAGACAGCCTGGATTTGGCAGAAACAGTGACCAGTGCTAAAAGTTGATCTGTTTCATGATTGTGGTTTTCTATCTTCTGGGTTGTTTGGTGGTTTTTTTAAAGCACAGTTTCATGTTTTCCTGTCCTCCCAAAATGTTCAAATTTTTGCTCAAGTAATGTAAATAAAGGAAAATCATCCAGCAATCCCTCAAATGTTCCTAATTGCCTACACATAAAATGACTTGGGGAAGATAAATTGAAAAGTGGTCAGTGAGAAGGGAGACTGGGAAAAAGAAACAAACAGGGACTGTGGCAAGGTTTCGACTGTATAGATTTTAAAGTACTTTAAAGGCTTTTTCAACGTAATATGCAGCAGCTTCTTATAATTTTCTCAGCAGTAGGTAGTTTACAGTCATCTGTACCTAGAACAAATCTTGTCAAAAATGAAGGTCTGTAGTGATTGCTGGGTATAATTTTATACATTTAGCTGATTTTTCTGAAAGCTTCCACTGTGCTGCTGTTGTCAGACTAAATTATCAATTTAGCCATTTGTTGTTCAATGAATAAAAAACTCCTATGGCATTGGAGATGTTGTGGTTTCAATAAAGCAAAAGCTTTAACAAGTCAAACTATACAAAGAAAAGTGTGTACTGTATATAAGAACAGTGTTTTTATTCCTTTAAATACCACTTTAGATTTTAAAAAAAGCCAATTACATATTCACTTAACACATTCCTCCTACTTCAGGCCAATGATGCAGTCCAAACCTGTTTACTGCTCAGTACCTTGCAAAAGGAAACCAAAATACAATATGTGCAAGGTAATAGGCCATTAGCACAAACATGCTCCCAGTAAAAATCCTTTGTGTAGGCACCTTTCTAAAAGCTGCCAATTGTGGCTGATGGAAGTATTATAAAGGAAGTGATTTTAATACTATTTAAGGCATTAAAAGCTGAAGAGTATCTGTTTAAGGCATTAAAGTAAGAGCTGCATGTATCTAATACCTTTTAAAATGCCCTTCTGCTGATTTATATTCATCCTGAACCTGCTAATAATGAGTATACATAAGCAAATACCATCTTCCACCTATTCAGCATGTCATTGATATGAAAGCCCCAGAAAATATCTCACGTAATCAGTGTGTTCAGAGAGTTATCTAGCACAAATTACTCATTAACTCAATAGCACATAATAAAAAAGAACATCAATTAATTAATGAGTCACCCTCAGATCACTTTGATTACAACACAGCTCTGTTGAAACAGCGGTTATAAATGGAGCTGCCTCTCTTTATTCATTGTTTGCAATTGGCCCATTATTTTGCAGAGACCAGTGTCATATTTAACACATGCCTGCAGGTAATTGTGTGATTAGTTTCATAAATGAAGATGCAGAG